AAAAATTTCACAGTCGAGATCTAAATTAGTTAGTTTAGGGGTGTAGGTGTCTTTATTCACACATTTATCCCCTGTTAATTCAAATCCTGACTGCGATTGGGAGCACCAGCGGACGAGCGATAAAATCGCTGAACACTGTAGTTCCGACCTTGGTTCTAATCCAGACGAATAGGCTGGCTGCATGGGCGTTTTCGTGGTTTTCCCTATATGTAATGTGTATACGAGAGAGTTTCCCTTAGAAAATCTTTCACGAAGGCATCTCTTCCCTCAGGCAGATAGCTCTATTGTGCTTTGCCATAATAAACTAAACAAACAAACAAAAAAAACTTACTGCGATTACGTTACACTATATGATATGATTTATGAAGTATTAATTTTAATATCGACTATGATTAGAATGTTATGATATAAGTGACTTTAAAATAAGTAAATAATAATTAACCTGTAATTAGATAAAAACCACATATTTTTAATTCAAATGCATATTTCTACATTCTTCAGTTTTAAATGTACATGTATAAACCGATCAGAATCTGAAAACGTATCTTATTTTCGTATGTTACTTATATGCATTGTACTGCATATCTGCAGATTTTCTTCATTAAGTGACACATTTAAAAAAAAAATGAAAGTTTTTTATTTATTTATTTTATTTTATTTATTTTATAGTTTGCGCGTACCTTATTTATAAATATCATGTTCTTCGCATCTAAACCATAAAATTCAATTCAGTATAACAAAATATTTCAAAAAAGTATACCTTTAGAATTTCCGACACACAGTCTCGCGCGCTGATATCCCCCCCCCCAGATAGCCCCATGCTCGCTTTGAAATCGTTGAGTTCGTTAATCAAAAATTCGTTAAAGTTTTACAAAATGCGAAATAGATAATAAAACAAATTCCAAATCAAATGAAGATTTAAAACCCTCAAAATGAAGATTTAAAGCTCATTTTCTAAGCTAATTCAGTGCTAATAATTTAAACGATTGTAGGGGTTATTTTAATTTCCTAAAAATTATTTTTAATTTTGAACATCTTCCTGTATTTTCTTTTTTTCTACCTACAATTCCCTGTCAGAATGAGTTTCCAGGATCGCGTTTAATGTAAATGAAATAAAACCATTATTTAATGGGAAATCTCGGTCAATTCCGGAAAACAGCTTAAGGAGAGCGTGTTCTGCCTTCTGGCCACTTCGCTGCTTTAAGCCAAAACTTACTTACGTTCGGGCGTATTGTTACGTGCCTCTTAGCATTCGCCAGTGAGATTTAATTAAAGGCCAACCCTGTTAATTACTTCTGTACAGCTTCGGCTGGTTTTTAGCTAGTTATCATTAGTTTAGTTTATTTTCTATCTTAAGTCAAAGCCGAAGTGGAGGCTTCCTGTAAAGCCGAGAGGGGCCATCTGTAAATACTCTCCAGTTAAATAAAAGGGTATTTTAACCCTTTTTTGGACTTTTTACTATAATATTTAAAGTTAGCGAATAATCGTTGCACACTTCTCAAATATTCTAGTTACCAAAGGCGACCAATTTAACTAAAATAGTATAAGATTAACACTGTATGTCCTATACAGCGGCAAAGTCCCGAAGACGATAAATCGCATCATAAAGTAACATAACTGAAGCTCGAAAATGTTAATAGATTCACTCAAAACATTTCTCACGTCAAACACTTATCTTAATTACAAAGTACATTTACATTTTTTAGCCATACAAAGGAAATGTAATGCGATGTTATTCGTTTATCTCGATCGGAAAATGCACATCGCCTAAACACGTGTTTTTCCTAAGATAATTCACTGATAATAACGATTAGGTTTTTTACATTTCCCTAATGAAGAACTTTCATTTTGATACCTACTTCCCTCAGATAAGCGAGCGCACTTGAAACGCACAAAATGACGCTTGAAATAATTTCACTGAAACACATTTGCCGCTTTAAAGCGAGAAACGAACTTGGAAGTTTGATTCTTTGGACCAATGGTGCCTAAAGTATGGGCCAGAAAATAATTGCTCATTAGTCGCAAAACGTTCAAAGTTTTCTCATTGTATAATTAAGCCGGTCGATAGTGAATTATTTCAACTAAATACGGGGGATAATAGTATCCATTAAGAGAAAAAACATTTACACTGGAAACTACAGCCACATTCCCCTCATGATGCCAGAAAAGAATAAATTTAACTTTTCAAGAGTAGAAGGGAGAGGAGAAAAAGATAACACGTCTTTTTCACGAAGTCTAGTACCGTATTACCACAATACTAATCCAAAGCAGTGACCTTTTAAAGAACGTTTGTTTCATCTGGCTTTGTACTGAACGTAGATAAGGAAAAAGCTGCTATCATTGATGCAGTTTCTTATCCCTAAAAATATGGATATGGAAAATGTTAGGTTATAAAGTAATTTACATTATGTAAATAACGTTTATTAAACTAATAAAGGTTATTTATGTAATGCAAAACATTATGTAAATAACCTTTATTACATTATGTTGCCTAACATAATGCATTTATTTGCATAATAAATGTTGTTAAATAAATAATAATATACATAACATAAAAATTATGTTATGTATATTATTTATTTATTTACGTTAGGTGTGGTTACGAAGCAACTCGAGTCTATCTGCTTATGGGAAGGTCTGCTTTTGTGGAGGACTTTTCAAGCGAAACTGGCTCGTATTTACATTACACACGGGAAAAACCATGAAAATCAAACATGCAGCCTGCCCATTCGCCAAGAATGGATCTCAGGTCAAACTTATTAGTGTTTAGAGACTTTACCACTTGGCTGCTGAATGGCCCAGATATGGCAAATGCTAGATGGTGATTTTCTGAAGATGGATAGAAATGGCATCAGAAGAGATGATTTTTTACGTGTTTTGAGGTAAATCTTTTCTGACACTCTGAGAGCAATGCGACTCTAGGTTCTTTTGTAAATGATATTTGTCTCGGTGGATAACATGAATCCTCTTATTTGATTCATATATTTTAGGAACACCCTATATATATGTAATGATCATCTTGCATGGTGAAGCGAAACATGCTGACAGAGCTAAAGCACAAAGATGTACTTGATCATACTTATTGTTATTGGTTGATAGAACATTTTGTTATTCTTGACAAAATATTTTTCAATAAAAAGAGCAATACTGAATTAGCACATGATGCATGCCCCTGTTCTTCGAAGTTTACCCCATTCGTGTGCTTTTCATACTTTTATGATGATTTTTTTAGAGAAACAGAGGTTAGATTATCTGAATACAATAAAACCATGAAGGCTATATGCCTGAGAGAAGATCATAATAAAAACTAAGATGCAGGTTTAAAAAAATTGTAAGTGATGTACTTTATAACATGACACCAGGAACCTTTCAAGTGAATTGCATCAGAATTGACCAAAAGTTTGCAGCTAACAATCTGTAGACCACTACAGACCCCCCCCAAAAAAAACCTATTAATATTACAACTATATTGCAATAGATAGCATTCATGAATATTTTGCATATTAACAAAGAATGCTAAAATTTATTTTACCAATTTTCGAGACACTAATTTGCATTTAAAATTTAAAAGCTGAAAAAGCAGTCTTAGTTCGACATAGATTTTAAATAAAACTTCTGTTTTGCTCCTGTAGATGAGGGACATGTGCCTGATCGCATTCAAAATGAGTTTTTATTAAACTATGTTCCTTTTTGTGTCTTATTTTTTTAACAGAATTTTTCATTTTTATACTAATAATACAAAAAAATCAGATTATTTTACTGGCTTAAAAACAGTTTTAAGTCCCTGTCATTTTTATTTTTGTCACTGTTGTTAACTGTCAAATATTTGTTTAAAAAGCAAATATTTGACAATTTCGGTTCAAAAGCCTTCAAATACTAACATTAAGAATGCTTAAAAGAGTTTGTTTTGTTTGTCTAACTACATAAATCTAGAATCAAATAGATTTTCTCCTCTTGATCACATTCCATAAAGTACTTGACAATTTCTCTTCAAATGCCTGGAAGTTCCTAATATTAAGAATGCTTAAAATTATTAACTAAGGTTAAAAATCTTAAAGTTCATTAAGAATACTTAAAGCATCATTCTTGATTATTAAATCTGTGACACACAATCTAGAATTATCCCTTTTATTATTCATATTCTATAACGTAACCTCCAATTACTACTTAAAAGCCTGATGTTAAAAACCTTAAGAATGCTTAAAAAAAATCCTTCTTTATAACCTAAACTGTGACATAAAATCTAAAATCAAAGACATACACAGAATTATTTTCCTATTCTTTTCATTTCATAAAGTATTTGCCAATTTCTATTAAAACTTTTTGGGCTAATGCATAACATTAAGAATGCTTTTCTTCTTGATTATTAAATCTATGTCATAAAATCTAGAATTAAACACAAATATAGATTCCTTCCTCCTCTTCCACTCCATGAAGCATTTGTTAATTTCTATTTAAAAGCTTAATTTTAATTGCATTAAGTATACTTAAGGAATCGTTCTTGAATATCTAAGCAGTGAATAAAATCTAGAAACAAACATACATACATAATTTACCGAATTCTTCACACACAAATACCTTTTCTCATTTTAGTGTATACTTATATAATTCTTTACAGCAGTTACTGTAAAAAGTCATTAAAATTATTTTTAAAACATTTCTCAAATCACCCTTTTAAAGGTATAAAACCTGATGCTTAAAAATACTTTTTTTCACTTTAGTGTATACTTATATAAATCTTTACAACAGCTATTGCAAAAAAGTCAGTAAAAATTATTTTTAAAACATTTCTCAAATCACCCTTTTAAAGGTAATTACATACACTTTTTATCCTGAAAAACCCAAATTTCATGCAAAAAAACCAATAAATAGATGACAACAAAAAGGAAATTAACATGCATAACAAACATTAAAGGAAATAAGAATACACAAAACAGGTTATTTATTCCTACCCCTATATTATGATACTCTTATTTCCAGATAAACCAAAATTCTCTTACCTGGAGCTCTTGGACTTCCTTCTCCAATCTCATCCTCTCTGTTGTTTCAGCTTCCAGCATTTCAGAGGCATGGGTGGCAGTAGTTTGCTCTTCACTCAACTCGGACCACAGCTCGGACACCTGTGATGATGACGAAGAACAAGACTTAGATATGCCAGGTTCAACATAAGGTAACACACCCATGCTGCACACTTTGGAAAGCATTTCAGTGTACGAATAGCGCTGAGGGGACAAACAGCTTTGGGAGGGCGATCGCGGCACATATCGCGGTGTATCTTCGATGCGTTTCAGGGATCCATAGCGAGACGGCGAGCGGAGGGGCAGCATAGGGGGCAGGGAGTCTCGCAAGGCGCGACGGCGAAGAGGAGCTCGAGGGGCTTCTGGCTCAACACGCTGGAATTTCTTATTCCAGTCCCCAAGATCCACAACAGTCATTTTGCTATCAAGAGTAGAACTTTTCATTTCACTACGTTTATTCTCTGTTGTGATATCCTTATCGATTTTAGAAGAAACACTAATATCCGCAATTTTGTAATTGTCTGAAATTTTGGTTGCAGTCTTATCCGTTACTGGTGTAATTCCTGTTGGGACAAAAATACCATTTTCCTTACAGGTAAAAACTTCAAGATTGCTATCTTTGCCGGCACTTGAAACATTATTAGCCTCGGAACCAATTAATCTGTCCACAGCAGGTGATGTTTTCGTATCCACAACTTTTGCTTCGGCTTTAGGCATAAGAGTCACAGTAGCCACTTCTTCCTTTTGCAAATTAACAATTGTATGTTTCGCTGGAACTTTAGATGCCTTTTGTACACACTCTATTGCTGTAACAGGTTCTTTCTCAACATCTGCAGCACTTGCGGAAATGCGTTCTTCATCAGATTTCAATTTTCCTGTAAGATTGGATTGATTTATCACAGCAGATGCTATAGGAGAACTGTTAGAATACGTTTCAACTACAACTTTCTTCCTGTTTTCTTCTTTGACAGCAGACTGACCTTGCGGACTTTTCGTTCTGAAAAGAACATTAACTGTGGGTACAATCCCAGGTACTGTAGAAGGAATGATCTTACTAACTTCTACTTTCGTAATTTCAGTGGATTCGATGCTGCCATTCAAATTTTTAGACATTTCACTTTGAACTTTACAGTACTCAGACTGATTAGATACAGTGCCACTGCGTGATGTGCTTCTCTGCGTTACAGTACTGCTTGTCACAGTAGAATGTGAAAGAAAATTCGCTTTCAAAACATTAGTTTCTGAACTTCTTATCTGGCTGACATTCCTTGAATTTACTTCAGAATTCTGCGACGCATTAGTGAGAGAGATGTTCTTCATTTGTGAAGAAAGCATATTTTTAGAATTTTTTTCATCTTGCAATTCCAAAGTGTTATTATTCGTGACACCTGTCTCTTTAAGAGAAGCACTTTCTTTGCTCTGTTCCATCGCAGTGCTCAAAGACCCTGTCGAGTCAGAAGATTTACGGTCAGTCTTCTGATTGGCCGACGACACCGTACCACCTGAACAGTTCTGATCCATTTTTTTAATTGGCATCTTGCCTTCAGCGTTGGAGGTTTTTTTCACCGAAGCCTTTGACGAAGAGTTGAATGAATATTCACTTTTAGAATCCCCCTTCCTAACCGATTGTTCGGTTTTAACTTCACTACTTTCAGGAGATTTTTTTGCATTATTACATCCCGGCATTAATGACTTTTCTATTTTCGATGCATTCAGATCTTCTTTATGACTCTCGCTACTAGATCTGATAAAAGAAGATTTCTGATTTGAATCGATTAAGTTTCCGTCACTACTTTTGCCACCTTTAACACTTTGGCTTTCGACTAACGGCTTCTGACCTGATTTAGAAATATCCTTTTTTTCCAAGTTCGTACTTTGAGTGTCCACAGCTCGAATAGGCTCAGATCCACCTTGTACACTACCTAAGCTTTGTTCCTTACTTTTGCTTTCTGAAGCACTAGAGGCTTTGTTATCAACAGATTGAACGCTTCTGTCTGGAACTTTAGATTTTTTCAGCGCAACAGGTGATGGTTTTTCGTTTGTGGCAATATTCGAGAAGATATTTTGAATTTTAGCAGCTATCACATCAGATGTCCTCCTCACAGTTCGAAATTCTTTTGGTGGAGATGAGGCTTTAATATTGACTTGCTGTTTCTCTGATTTATTCGGTTCAGGTTTAGCAGGTTCAGAATTCCTACTAGGCTCTTTTACTGGTTCAGACTTACTAATTTCAGACTCAGAAGGTTTAGAGATATTTTTAACAGGAGCAACAGTTGAAGAATCGACTGATGCCGATGGCTTTTTCAGAGGTTCTTCGCGAACTTCAGAAATTTTTTCTGCTTCCGGTTCCTTTTTTACGTTCGACTTAGATAATCCATAAATCTTAGCTTTAGGTTTGGTAGCTTCAACATCGGTAGTGGCGCTTACAGACGATATTTCTTTCACTTCTATATTTGCAGTTTTGGAAATAGCATTCAAAGGTACAAGTGGTGAAACAGTAACATCCGGTTTGGAAATATTTATAGAAGATGTTCCTTTAGACACTGCATTTTCAGATTTTGTATCAAGTCTAGAAGCAGTATTCAAAGATCCCCCTTTGGAAGAAGCAAGTTTTGATTTCACATCGGATTTGGAGATTGTCTCATTCGAAGAAGTTACTTTAGATTCTATATTTTCAATTTTTACATCTGGAGAGGAGACAGAATTCGAAGAAATCGTAGTCGAAGTGATACTTATAGTCTTTACATCACAGCTAGACACACTATTTGAACCGTTTACTTTAAACGCAGAATTGTTACCTTTCGTATCAGACTTTGAAGTATTACTTAGAAATATTCCTTTCGATGCATTTTGTGTTTTAATCTCAGCAATAGTCGCATTGCTAACTTTAGGTGCAATATTGTCAGCTTTTGAAGCTAATCCGGAAGTGGTACTGGGAGTTTTAGACGGGACATTCTCAGTTTTTGTATCACATTTAGAAATGGCACTCAACGAAGATATTCCTCTACTAGCAACATTCTCAGTTTTTCCATCAGATGCTACATCAGGTTTTGGTTCCCGTTTCCTTAACCCATAGACCTTTTTAGTTTGCTTTACGCTTTCTGTTACACTAGTATCTTTTTGTATTGAAGATTCAGTACTCGCACTTTGAACCACCGTAGATGATTTAGCTGTGGATATAATTTTTCGATCTACATCCTTAATATTTTTGTTCCGCAAATTATGTTCAGTTAGATTTGAATCAGAACGCTGGGATATTTTGGATTCAGCATCTAAAGCCTTAACATCCGATTTGTTTTCTTTGATAGCATTCAGAGAATTAGACGACGGCACAGTATTGACAGAATTGCTCTTACTGACATCTACTTTTCGATTTTCTACCGCACAAGAAATTTCTTCCGCGACAGAACCGTTGGTGCTTGCTTTCTCCTCCTTCACTATACGCGACAAACTAGAACCGGTATTCCTCGGTGTTTTCCTCAGTAAACTTTGCCCGAAAGGAACTTCTTTCTGCCGGGCATCCCAAGATTGCCGCCGACGGGCAAAATCTTCAGCGGCAGCACCATCTCCAGAACTGCAAGGCCTAAGATCTCCTACCAATGTTGAGAATCTCCTTTTCTCAGGCAGAGCGGGGGGTGTCTCCTCGACGGGGCGGAATATTCCAGCGACTGCTACAGGACGAACAAAGACACCGTTCCTTGCGGACGTTTCCGTCACCTTGGCCTTGGGCGGATCGGGGGGTGAGGTGGTACTACCTGGCATATCTCTTGGGTGCGAGCCAAAGAAAGCCTCTCGAGCGGAGAATTATTGAGACACTTACACCTGCCAAGCCGCCTACAACGAGGGGACAGGGACTAAAAAGAAGCACTGTTTAAAGCTGAACATCGTCTCTTCCGGAAACAATTATTGCGCGGGAAATAAGCATCAGGTCTCTGAAAGATCCAGAACGATGATGCTGCTCTCTTGCATCTTCCCAGCAAGAGACGGTTCGGTATGTGGATGATATCCGTGCGAAATGCGGGTCGAAAGCCGAGAATTGCGGGACGAAGCGATGCACGCGTACGAACCACGTTTCAGACGAAAGAGAGGGAGCAAAAGGAAAAGGACCCCGAAGTTGCTGAGACACGGAGGTTCCTTTGGATGCTTTCCAATACCCGACAGAGCTCTTTGACTATTTTCAGATGCTGTACGGGTTGCAGGGACGAGAAAACTCAGCGCGGTTTTGGCGAGCGACGGAAATACCGGAAACGTATCGCGCGCGGAATACCAATTCGAAATTCCCACAGTGTTTCGAAATTCCGGTAGTACACTTCGTGACACAAGTTTAACCGCTTTGCTTTAGCGCGTGATATTTTTTTATCTGTCTTTAATTTATTCGCCCTTATCTTAGATTGATTACACATCGACGAAGTCTGTTTTTCGACACGATTTGCGTAGGTTTTCGTGAAGAGGTTTTTTTTTTTTTTTTTTTTTTTTCCTGGTACAGAGAGATGTGTTCTCCCCCTTTTAACTTCTACAGCATGCAACAATCTCATCTTACCACATATAAAAAGAAATACTTCACGTGTTCAACATACGACTTCCTTGACTTACACCTTCTGTTGAAATACTAAAAAAAAAAAAAAATTGGAAGGTATTGGCTTTAAATATTTTAAATAATTTCTCTTTCATGTCATAAATATCACTTAGCATCTACAGATTTGATTTCCGGCATATTTTAAATGCTTCTAAATAATATTAGAAAATCATTTTGAACGCGTATTTCTTCTCTTATTATTAGCTTTCGTTATACGTTAATAAACGAATTTTTTTTTTTAAACAAAAGCTTTTGCATTTTCAAAAACTGTATGCTCAGTTAATTAAGAAATAATTTTCTTAATCCAGCTGATTATTTAAAATTAAATCTTTGAATATTTTTAAAATTATTTTAATAAATCTATTATATACTTCTTATAATGATAGTTAATTACATTTTAATAATGAAAGATTTAACTAAGTTTAAATATGTTTTAATTTTATTATAGTCTTTATAATAATAGATATACTTTTTAATAATTAAATATTAGTTAAACCATTTTTAATAATTAATTTTTATTTAAAAAATAATTAGCTCAAATAAAAGAATATTTTTTAATTAACTGAGCCTGCAGTTTTTAAAATGCAAAAGATAAATTTACATTTGTATTTTACAACGTTTAAAGAAGTTAAAAAAAATAATTAACTAGATGTTAAAAAAATATAAAATTAGAATGCTGCACAGGTTTTTTTTAACTTATAAATGAAAAGAAATCGAGAACAGATTTTTTTCATTTGTTAATTTCATTTTTTTTCCTTTGTTCATGAATTATTGTACTTCAATTTTTATCAGAAGTAATATAAGAAATTTCGAAAATCTTAAATTTCGGCATTTTAAAACACTTACGCATAATGCTTATAACAGATATACGAGCATATACTAGGAATTGTTTCTCCCCTTCTCTGATAATAGTGAAATTTAGAGTATTTATCAAGTATATTATTATGAATAAAAATATAATAAATAAATTACTATTTTATGCATTTTTAATTATTTTATGTATTTTAAATACACTGGGGTTATTTTGCCAACTTCATGCAAAGAAATCGAATTAAATGTGTCCAAATTATTACATTTTCATTCTGAAGCTTAGAAATACAGAATTTAGCACTACAATACTAATAATAAAAAATAAATAATTACTTTCTAAGTTTCTAAGTATTTACTTTCTACGTTCCTTTTCAATCATTACAGTCTAGATCTTTGAAACACGGTATTTAACACTACAAAGTAGATAATTACGTGGGATAAATAAAATATTTATATATATATATATATATATATATTATAATCGTAACTTTTCGGACAATACAATATAGTCGCACGTAGCTCAGTATAGTTCTCACAGCTCAAAATTCAATATCGTTACTCATAGCTCAGACAAAATTCGAAGACATTTTGACAGAAAGGGGGCTAGCATAGTATCACGAACAAATTTGTCGTACATTTTGGCACCAGAAATTACGTTACCTTTAGAAAGAAAACTATTAGCTTCATATTACGTAGTTTCTGCACAATGTTTTCAATAAGATACGAGCAATTCAATCCCCAAAATGCAATCAATAAGCAAATTTATAAAAACAAATATTTAAATTTCTGATTTTACACCGGGAAGCAGCTATTAAGTGCAAAAGAAATAGTACTGCAGTGTCACAAGTAATGGTTCATTCCACGTATATGAAAAAGTTCAAACATATTCATATCTGCCTAGATTTTCTTTTTACATGCGGAGGTAGTTATTTATGATTCTCAAGCTATATAGTCTTCAGAATAAAATGGTTTTGAAATTTAATCGCCGCTTAATTTTCTCTCCACTAGCCGATGTATAAGAACACTAACATTTCTTCTAAGTCTGAAATTCGATGAATTCTTTGTATTATCTTCATATGTAACATGACGATGAGCAGGTTTCTTTTACAAAGTCTTTGAAGAAACAATACATATTAAAACCCATAGACCTTACATGGTAATTTGTTGTAAGAAATAACCAAACTAAAGATCGCTTTATTGTCCATCATATCTTTTATGCAAATGGATTAAGAACTACTTGAAATTGTTTAAACAAAAACTAGAAAGCCTATCTCGATAATTCCTGATTAATGAGTAAAGAAGATTTGGGGCTTTTGGGAATATTAACGTCAAAGCTCCCATAGGATGACTGCTTTATATCTCAACAGCAGCTGAGTGGGTAGCATCTCTGAACGCTGGTTGGTCGAACAGGATTCGAAACAAATAAATGGTCTGCACGGGAATTTGGGCTTCTTCATAATTTGTTTGTGAGCAGTCTGCATGAGCATTCCGATATTTTCCTTGCATAACACGAATATTAGCCTGTTTTCTTTATAAAATCTTCCTCACATCATCTCTTCCCTGATGTTTCCTTTTCCTTGGTTTTATTTTACTTATGGCAAAGCACTCGAGGGCTATCTGCCTAAGGGAAGGGATGCCTTCGTGAAAGACTTTCTGAGGGAAACTGGCTCGTATACAAGTTACACATGGAGAAAACCACGAAAACGCCTGTTTGCCAAGATTGAAACACCGCGCCGAACTACCAGTGGTTTGCGACTTTACTGCTCGGCCGCTCTTCCCTGAAGTCTCACATAGTTTTCCACAGTTTATTAAATGGTAAGCTCCCTTTGAGAACCTTTTGCTATAGAAATATGAGGTCTTTCTATGGAATATTGGTTTATACTTATTTTTAAAACATGTAAATCTACGAAAACTCTCATACATACAGATTTTTTATTGCATAACGTAAATACAAGCCCTTCAAACATCCCCCTTGGAATGCATCACTTCCTGCAGACAGACAAAGCTCGCGAGCTATGCCATAATCAGATAACCACAGAGAGCTCATGTGAAAATTTAGGAAATGTACTCAAGAAAAACCATTAGCAGTTTATCCACTCCGCCACTGGCAAACCCAAACTAATAAATTTTATATTTAGAACTTACGTTATAGTCTACTATGTACCGTAAATTTTTTATTTAGGATAACTAATTGCGTATTTAATATGAAAAAAAAGCAAAATCAAACGTTGCGTTTAGAAAAAATAAATAATAAAAAAATTGTTTAAAAATTCAGTTAATTGCACTCCCCACCCTGAATATCCAAAGTTTATATCATGTTCTGCTTGCAGCAATTTTTCCACACCTCACTTTGGGTTAACTGACCTTTTTTATTATAATGAAAAATGAATAGAGTCATCAATTTCTATGCAAGAAATAAAAACCCTCAAAAAAAATAATAATAATATCACAGTATGTTCTTTTCTCGCGATTTTTTTTTTGGGGGGGGAGAAGGACTATTAATTTTGTTTTGGCGTTTTGCACTGAAAACTATAAATGGCGAATCTCTTTTCAAATTGTTGCCACCAAATATTCGCCCTGTATTATATTTAAGGAAATTAAATAGTGAAGAATCTGCATGAATGTCTATGTTTCTCGCATTGATAAAAACAATGGTACCTAGAGCCATCAAAATCTGAATAACCTAATCTTCCATAGAATATGAGCATTGGAAGCCTAATTTAATTTGAATTTGTTTTATTATCGATTTCGTATTTTGCAACACTTCAACGAATTTTTGATTAAAAAACTAAACCATTTCAAAGCGGGCAATGGCAATACTGTATGATATATATATATTTTTATCTCCAGCGCACGAGAGTCTGTATTGGAAATTTTAAGGATAGTCTCATTTTAAAATTATTGTGCGATATTGCTGTTGAACTGAATTTTGAGTACGTAGAACATGATATTTAATAAATAAAGGTAACACACAAAACGTTAAAAAAACGCCCCTTTGGATGTAATTTAAAATCTGAAACCTTTCAGATGTTTTTAAAATTTACTTTATTAATTTATTTACTTATTTAAACTTTTAAGCATCATTTGACAGACATATCATCAGAAAAACTCAATATTCTGTTAATATACTGCAAGGTGAAAGACATACATACAAAACATTCTTCAAACACGGCAAACAGGGTTGCCACAAACACAAGGGAGAGGGAAAAAAAAACTCTTAAGCGGTACGATAAGAGGCAGCGCGCGGCCTTTGCTCTCCGATTCGCTCCTCCTCTTCCCCTCCCGGAACAACCGACGAAAGATTCTGTTGCTCTTCTTTCTGCCCAAAGACAGACAACATATAAACATAGCCCATCATTTTCCAATCGTGTAAAACTCACCAACGTCCCGCCTCTCGGATTTAGGGAAAGAATACGACACAAAGAAAAGGATTATGCGGCGAATGATGACGCAAAAGTGTAGTTCCGAAGTTTGTTTTCCTAGTCTAGTATGCGAGTGAAAGTGGGTGACAGTTCCAGTGACGTCAAATGAAAGTTTTATCGTTCTGGTGAGAACATTTATTTCGTGCAACCAAGGATCCTCCCATACGTTAAACTAAGAAAACAAACAGCAAATATACACATAAAGATTTAAGTTTCAGTGATAACTTTTCACGTTTAAATGACATCAATTTTGAAAAGAAAATTAACCAGGATTATAATAATTCTCTCGAAGTAAAAGATACATAAAACAAAATACCACAAAAATAAATTAAACTAGTTTGCAATCTGAAATAATACCTCAAAAGTTTAACAGAAATAACAAAGAGAAAACATAAACATAAAAAGCTTATTATTTTTTTATGTCAAAAAAACTACACAAATATGTCTTAAATAAAAATAATTTTTCCTACAGCCAAACTTAACTCAAAAGTAATTTACATTTTAAAAGCTTCAGCATTTCCTTCTAACTTTTCTTTTTAATGTAGCAGGGTATGAACATGTTAGCAATTAATTAGTTCCTTTATTAAAAACACATTCCGTCAAAACAT